TTTTTGTTAAACTAATTTTAAAATATATCATTTTCATTTTTTTATCATTTCGACTCTATTTGTTTTGCTAAAAATAATTTTCAAAAAATAATTTTTGCATTTGTTGTTTTTTATAAAAAATTAACTTAAAAAATAATAATTTACTGACCAATAAAAAATGAAATCAATTTTTTAAATTGTCTTTTTCTTTTAAAAATAATAAGACAATTTTTGAAAAAAAGTTTACGGTTAAAACTACTTACTAAAATCATAAACACAAATTTATTCAAGTTGGACTTCAATCATGATTTTTTAAACTCATACTTAATTTGATCTAATTCAAAATATTATTATATTAATAAAAATAATTTTATTTAATTTTACAAAAAAATAAAATATTAATGTTAATTTTTTTTTAATATTTTTATAATTCAATTCAAGACCATAAACATAATATTTTAAATTTAAGTTTAATTTAATCTAATAAAATCTTTAACATTTTTTATTAACTCATTTAAACAATAAAAAATTTTACTTTTTTAAAAAATATAAAAATTTTCAAAAAATATTTTTTAAAAATTAATTTTCACAAAACAAATAAAATTTTTATTTGTTTTAAATTATTAAATCCGATATGAGTAATAATAAACTTACTTTTGGTATTAATAGTAACATTTTATCTGAAACTAAAAGTAGCAGGGACAGTTCTTTGAAAAATTCTGGATAAATTAAAACATTCTTTCAAATTGAAATTGGTAACTGCAAGAAATTGAAATTCATAAGCAAAATATACATCAACACACATGCATATGACAACTTCTTAGTAATGTTTCTAGTGAAGGGTTGCATCAACCACGTGCTCCTAAAGACAAACTGCTAAATATATAAACCAGGCACAAGCTAAGGCAGGTTATACTGAACCTATTACCTTAACATACTATCTTAATTATATAATTATCTTAAAAATTTAAAATCAAATTTTAATATTTGTAATTATTTTTTTATTCTCAAGCATTGATATATATATATATATATATAAAATAAAAATTACTTTTTATACTTTTTTATTCTCAAAGCACATAAATTACTTTTTTATTTTTTTTATTTAGTTATTTTTACTTTACGTCCACACACATATATATAATTATAAAATTTTTGCATTATGCCTTTTTATATAAACGATCGTAACATAAAAATAAGGATAAAAATTTTAAATTTTAAATATTTTAATTATCATTTTTAAAAATAATTATATAAATTAATTAAATTAAATTATATTATCTTTTTGCTTTCTTATCAGTGGCTAATCTACTTTAGTAGTTTTCGGTACGGAAAAGGACAATGCAGGACTAATTATTATTGGGTTTAATTAATTTTATTTTTATTAAATTAAAAATAATTAAAAATTACAAAATAAATTAAAAATTACAAAATATATATCATATTTATATATTAATTGAAATATATTATTTTATCAAAATTTATTAAAATAATTTAAAATTAACAAAATTAATTAATATTATTAGATATCAAATTTAATATAAAAAATTATTTTTAAATATATTATATTTTAATATAATTAAAGTATATCGATCAATAAAATTATTATTTAAATGAAATTAACATCTGTGGATAAAACTCCACCATGATTAGAGATGGCAGCGGGGCGGGGCGGGTCAAAATTTTGCTTTCCCCGCCTCCGACCCGAAGCCTTAGTGCTTTTACCCGATACCCGATCCGTCCCCATTCGGAGGTTTTAGTGAAAAATCCGACTCCGACCCGTTACAAATATTATTTACCCGAATAAAACTCGACCCGACCCGTTGCAAATATTATTTATACTGCAGGGATTTTTCAAATTTTTTTTGTTCTTAAAGAAAAAGAAACCCGAAAAGATTCTTGAAAAACCTATAATCCTTGCTAAGGTTTTCGATTCTGTAGGGCATTACTTTGTTCTTGAAAAGTTACAAAACCAATTTTTAAAACATAGCCTTTTTCAACTCCCTCAAAGACGCAAAAAGTTTATCCAAAACCCCTCCCATGGTTTGCAAGCACATGGTTTGCAACAGAACATGGTTTCAAAAATCACACATGGTTTGTAACAAAACATGGTTTGCAAGTTGCAACAGAACATGAACCAGAACAGCCGGTTAGCAGAGTTTCAGCTTTGTCTGAAATCGAAATTGAAACTATCCAAGTCTCTGTAAAAACTCAACATGCTCGACATAACATTAACAGTAGAGGGTAAGGAGATGATTTTGGCTTACCTCAAAACTGCTGTCTGCTGGTATCCTGGCACTGTGGAGATTACAAATGGTTGCGACTCGTCTGTCTTTCTGTCCTGTTAACTTTACTCTTTCTAGCTTGATGGCTTTTTTTGTTGAAATAGAGGAAAGATTCGAAGGAAGAAAGCTAAATAGATAGAAGTTAAATGGATGAAAACAGGTGGGATGGCTGGAATTGGATAGGTGGATGAGAAATTTTGAACAAATCGAAAGAGATGAGAAGGATAGGACGGACGAAAAACAAAAACATTGAAAGCAATCGAAACTCAGAAACCCTGAAAAAAAATTACATATATATATTAAGGGTATTTTAGTAAATATCTCGAGTCGGTTCGGGTTTCATATAAACCCGACCCCGACATTTCAAAAATTAAATCTGACCTGACCCGACCCGATCCGAAACCCGTTTTTAAAGAAAAAAACCCAATCCTAAATTATCGAGTCGGGTCGAAACCCGACGGATTCGGATAAATTTATCGACCCTAACCATGATTCATTTCCCACTTATGAATGATATGACAAAGACAGACTCGTTTAATTTTCTAAATTTATTTCATATTTAGTAATTTCTTTTTTTATTTATCAATTGCCCTAATAATAATGTTGGCTGATGATATTTTTTATATAAAAAGTCATCACCATTGAATTATGATTATTAAAATTAAAAATATCTAATATTTTTTAATTGATTATTGACTATGTTGATCGACAATATTATGAACAAATAAAGACGAGTTTAATGTGAATGTGATTAGGGATTTATTGTAGCCAAACGAGATTGAATATTAACGTGATCATTGTCTTTCTTTTAATTAGAAACAAATACAACCGTTCAGCACTAATTATTTGAATATTGGATTGAAGTTTGAAGAAACTGAGGCTATAGCCATCAATTGGATGACCTACTCACAACACGTGATTGTTTTGGCTACTGACTCTTCCTACATTAAAAATATAAAAAAAATGAAATTTTATATAAAATGTAACAAAATTAAATAAGGATAAGCAAAATAAGATCAAATAAATATTATTTTATAAATTATGATATTATAGAAAGTTTTGGAGAAAATGTCTTTTTTTATTAATTGGATTTTGATAGTATTTATTTATTTGATGTGGTGTCATGTCAATTATCGAATCATGAATATATGTATGGATGACAATATATGTGTGATGTGTGCATGTTAGATAAGATATTGTATTCTAGTAATAATACTAATAAAAGATAGAACTCTTGTTTTTTATATGTTTAAATTACTTAAATTTTTTTCTTAAAAAATTAAAATTCTATAATTTTATCAAAATCACATAAAAATAACTAAAATACTTAATAAAATTTAACTTTTTATAATTTATAAAATAAAAATACACATCTAAATCATGTATTTAGATTTCACAAATATATAAATATGGATATTAATAAAATATATCCTCCATCTTTTATTATTTTTTCAAAAATAAATAATTATATGTGGGGAAAACAGAAATTAACTGAAACCAATATTATATATAATTAAATTGTTTTTGTTCGTATAAAATCAAAAGCAATTGTCCATAAAATAATCCCTCCATGCATTAAAAAAAAAATAATGATGGCCCAGTCAAGCTTCAGCCAACGAAGGCAATGAAGTACAATTCTTTCTCATTGTCGTGATTTTATCTTTGACTTATTCATAAAAATATTATTTCTTTTGATTTTTTTAAGCATTGAATTTAATATTCACAAAAAAGGGTACCATAGCATTTTAAGTAATAAAATTAAATTAAAAGGATTTCTATATATATATTTAAAATTTTTAATTTTTTGCACTATTATTTATATTGTTTTTGTGAATTATATGAATGTAAAATGAAAATTTATAACATAAAAAAATAACTTTATACCGTGCTGAAATTGCTAATTTCATTTAAATTTATTTTATTATTACAATTTATAATATCCAATGAAAAAATAGAATAATCATAAAATATAATAAAATTCTTATTTGATTTTACTTTGTTAACAAAACTAAATCATTAAACATTTTTAATGAATAGTAAAATATTTTTTCTTATACAAGTTTATTTTTATACATTTAATAAAATTAAAAAATAAACATTTTTATAATTAACTAATTAATTAAAATAAATAATTAGATAAATAATAAAGTAAATAAATATACATAACTTTATTATTATATAAATTTTAATATAATATCGATATTTTTTAATTGTAATTTATCTCATCATTGGGAATTGAAGATGTTTTTTTCTTTTGCCAGGCGAATTGAAGATGTTAATCACAATATTTTTCAACATTCCTAAAAAAAATCAAATAACTAACGGTAAAAAGGAAAATATCAAAGACCTTTTACGACAAAAGATATCATTATCTACCACTAGATTTGTCTACAAATTGAGCCGAATAAGTTTGACTCGACTCAAAATCGATACTAGACATGAGTTTGTAAAGTTTGATTTAAAATTTTATTTTATTAATAAATTTTAATTTTAATTTCAATTTTAAAATATATTTAAAAATAATAATATTTTAAAATAAATTTTCCAAACTGAGAGAAAATAGAATCGAATCATGAATAAAATTTTTAAATGCAATCAGACCATAAATAGGTTTATCTACGACTGCCGTTATTTTTTAAATAATAAAATAGGAGATCTTGTATTCATTATGATTTTTAATTAATTTGATAATATGGGTTGCTTGCAAAAACATATTACGTTATAATTTCTTTTTCTTTTAATTTACGGCAGTCAGAAGATCCGCTTTTTCTCTACTATATTTAACACTACTAGTACTAACAAAATAGAAAACCCCCTCTGTTTTTTCCCTCTCTTCCTCGACTCTGGCTGTTGATCCGTGAAAGGTATATTTTCATTAAATTTTTCCAAATATTGAAAACTAGATTTTTTTTTCTTGCTTGTTTAAATCGCAAATTTCGTTTGATTTCGTGAAGGGTATATTTCCATTAAATTTTTCCAAACATTAAAAACAAGAATTTTTTTTCTTGCTTGTTTAAATCTCACTTTTCGTTTCTTTTTTAGCTATTGTTTGTTGATGGTCATCTAAGTTCGTTTCAAACGATAAGAAGAGAGTGATTTTGATTTGTTTAATCAGGTAATGCATTTCTTTCTTATATGATTTTTTTTTAAAATAAAGGTAAGTCAATCAAAACAAAAGTTCTGCTTGACTTCACTCAGTTTCCCATCCTTTATTTTGTTAGCATATGATTTCGAGTTTCCGTTTTTCTTTTCTCTTGAGTTTTCATCAGTGTATTATTTTTTTTACCAAACTTTTTCTACTGTTTTCTACTTTATATCACAAAGACCGCATATATTGTATAAGCTTTCTTGCGGCTTTCTGTTAATATTACTTCATTTATGTGTAGTGAGAGATGGTTGCCTTTGGGAAGAAGTTGAAGGAAAGACAAATTCAGGAATGGCAAGGGTATGTTTGATATATTCTTTATTTTGTGTATATTGTTCTTAAGCCGTTTCCTGTGTATTATGTGGTTTTATACTTTTCCCCTTTATGAACACTATGCTTTTTGATTGTTCAACATTTTGCTAGTTGCTGTTTAATATATCTTATTATGACATTTTTCTATGAATTAAATGTGGTTACAACTAACTGTTACCCTTTCTGATAGTATATGGTGCTTGATTTGCTACTATCAATCTGATGTGAGCATTAAGAATTTACATGTTTTTGTCTATATAATTTAACAAATTTTTATTGTCATCACTCCAGATTGATCTCATAGAGCTTTTCTTCCCTAATACAAAACCAAACCATAAATGTGTGTGTGTGAGTGTGTGTGTGTGTGAGAGAGAGAGAGAGAGATAGAGAGGTTGTTTTGCATGTTGAAAAACTTGAATTGTATGAGCGGTGATACTATTTTATGTTATGGTCAAATTTTAATTCTTTTGCAGATACTACATAAACTACAAATTAATGAAGAAGAAAGTCAACCAGTATGCTCGTCAAATAGAAGTTGGGACACAAGATCATCGACATGTTCTAAAGGATTTCTCAAGAATGCTGGATAATCAGGTATCCTGAAAAATGAACTTCAAAGTATCTGCATCTACTTATTCATGGAAACCTAAGGCTGAAAGCTTGAATAATAGGGTATATTATTCAAACCCCATTATAAAAATACTGACATTATGCTTTCAAAATCTAATTAAATTTATATTTTCCTTAGAGTTACTTCTTTTCCTATTCATGGATTTTTAAGGGGAAAAAGGTATGTATTGAAAGTATAGGGGGTAGAAAATAGACATGTTTATGGGAATTTCTGTAGTTTATCCTTTATATTATCTGTCTTTAGCTGCTAGTTCGTTGAATCACATTTTAGTGGCTCTTTTTAAGTGGTAAAAAATTGCTTTAAAATGGTCCATGTGAGCAATGAGATGTGTCATGAGCCAGGGGAAGTAATATGCCTTAATATAAAGATTAATCTTAAGAGTGATTATGTAATCAACCATAAAGTTAATGGTGGTCTGATCAGCAAATTTAGGCACATTTTACCACTCCAAAGTACCTTGTGGTTTAAGGACATTTTGTTTATTTTCATACTTGTTTCTATATGTTCCTTGTGCACCTACTCCCAGGTGAATGCTGGTGTAGGGGTCTTCTTGCATGGCTCTCTATCATGAGATAGCATCATGAAAAATGCCTTTCCCAAGGCCAAATCTGATATATTTCACATACTTTTTTGTATCTAAAATTTTAGATTGAGAAGATTGTACTCTTTCTGTTAGAGCAACAAGGCCTACTTGGAAGCAGGTTAACAAAGCTTAGAGAACAGCATGATGCTCTTGAGGAGCCGTCGGAAATAGCCCAAATAATTGAACTAAGAGAGGCTTATAGAGCAGTGGGACAAGATCTTTTGATGCTTCTCTATTTTGTTGAAATAAATGCTATTGGTCTACGAAAGATATTGAAAAAGTTTGATAAGCGTTTTCACTATAGATTCACTGATTACTATGTCAAAACTCGAGCTAATCATCCTTACTCTCAGCTGCAGCAAGTGTTCAAGCATGTGGTAATGTGTCAAACTCAGACAGGCTTTGCTTTTACTTTTAGTCATTTCTATTTCTATCTTTAATAAGGCTTGTAGATGGGGTTTTCCTATCCAGCTCTTGCTCATTTTTAGATGAGATTGTGAACATGTAATAGTGGGGTATGCAGAGGTAGTTTTAGCCAGTACCCTGTAAGCTTACTTTTCAGTTGTATAATTTGCAGGGTTTAGGGGCTGTTGTTGGGGCAATATCTCGTAATCTTCATGAACTTCAGGACCGTCAAGGAAGCTACTTATCAATTTATGATCCACCTGCCCTTCCTCTCCAGGTTTTTCCTATATATACTTGTCATAAATTTTCACCTTACTCCGTCTGCTGAAAATGTTTTATGGTAATATATCTGTGGCTCTGCTATTTTACTTACTTGTGTCATCTTCAGGATCCTATGGTTGATTCAATAAAAGCGGCTGTGGATAGGTTAAGTCACTCAACAAACTTTCTAAACTTTCTGGCACAACATGCTCTCATTATGCAAGAAGAGCTACCTGCTCCTATTGAGGAACACATTGATGAGGAGAGATACCATTTTATGTCACTCCTCTTGAACTTAGCAAACACATTCCTTTATATGGTCAATACATATATTATTGTCCCCACTGCAGATGACTACTCCATGAGCCTTGGAGCTGCTGCAACAGTTTGTGGTATCGTTATTGGGGCAATGGCTGTTGCACAGGTGTTTTCTTCTGTGTATTTTAGCGCATGGTCTAATAGATCTTACTTCAGACCTCTCATATTTAGCAGTATTGTCCTCTTTGTGGGAAATACCATGTACGCGATGGCTTATGATCTGAACTCATTAACAATTCTTCTACTGGGTCGGCTTTTTTGTGGGTACATAAGTGTTCTTCCTCTTTATCTCTTTTCTTCATCAGAACTCACAGCACCTATAGTAATTGATGCGGCATAGTCATTGTTTAGAATAATCAAAGCTCATTTTAATCAATGTAGACTTTGAAACTCTTAGATAATAATGACTCTAAAGGCTAAGCTAAACATTCCAAAATTTATCTTCTTGGATTATATTTATTATATTATATTATATTTACGGCAAACCTGAGGCTTTTTGGAATTTTGCAGAGTAGGAATCAGATCAGACCCAAATTGAACTTAACCAATGAATGTTACAAGTTCAAGAGACTAGGAGAATTTTTTTTTTTTTTTTGACTTTCACCATGTAGCTTGATAAAGTTATTCTTGTCATTTCAGATTTGGTTCTGCTAGAGCTGTTAACCGCCGGTATATCAGTGATTGTGTACCATTAAAAATCCGAATGCAGGCATCAGCTGGCTTTGTTAGTGCCAGTGCTTTGGGGATGGCTTGTGGTCCCGCTCTTGCTGGCATACTTCAGACAAATTTCAAGATTTATAAGTTTACATTTAATGAAGACACTTTGCCAGGATGGGTTATGTCTGTAGCTTGGCTTGTATATCTGATATGGTTGTGGATCTCATTTAAAGAACCATCTCGTGATATTGAAGAGAATAATTCACCTCATGCATCTACTTCTAGTATGTATTTTTCCATCAATCATCTTTTGGCTTGATAGGTTCATGCATATATACAATTATGTCTTTATCACTGATCGAGGTGTTTCCAGTCTGTTTAATTTAAAACCCAAAAATTGTTTCTGGACTTTTACATTTTTACTTTCGCCAGGTGATTATTTTATTTGATAACTTGACCTGTTAAGCAATGCATTAAAATGATCGATTTACATGTTTGACCACATAAATGCAGAAACAGCAGAAAATGATGCACTTGAGGATGGTCTTAAACAAGCACTGCTCATTACTTCAGAAGAGAAGCAAGAAGATGATGAAGACCCAGAAGGTGATGGAAGTGAAGAAACTTCTAAGGAATCTCGTCAACCAGCTACATCAATCGCATCAGCGTATAGACTACTTACACCCTCAGTAAAGGTATATGATTTAATCAAAAGCTGCTTGAGTTCAAAAGTTCTATAGATTAGTCAAGTGTGCATCCTAAAGTCATTTGCAAATATAAAAGTAGTAAGCATGCTTAAATGGGAAAAACAATAGACATGCAAGATATTTATGTTTCTATTTTGCTTGTAAGGAAATGTGACCATTGGACTGCCCGTGGTTAACAAGCATAATTTGTACTTGTTTATTTGTTTAGCCCAAGAAAACGAGCTTAGTTGTTTAGAAACTTTAAGAATAGATCTAATAGATCTCTGCGAAACTTAAATACTTTCAATATTTGAATGTTCTCTGACTTGACTTCTTTTGATATCATCAGGTTCAGTTGTTGATATATTTCATGCTCAAGTATGCAATGGAAATTTTAGTCTCAGAATCCAGTGTCATCACCTCATACTACTTCAACTGGTCTACAAGCAAAGTTGCCATCTTTCTTGCATGTCTTGGCTTAACAGTTCTTCCAGTAAACATTGTTGTTGGGAGCTACATTAGCAACATGTTTGAAGACAGGTATTTTGAAAAAGCCTGCACCCTTTCAATTTTTAATTTTTTTGACATAACTTAGTATTCATATCTTTGTTGATCTTGAGCTGTGGAATTGTTTGTAATGTATCCATTTTCATTGGTTCATTGCAGGCAAATTTTGTTGGCATCTGAAATTATGGTTTGCATAGGCATCCTGCTAAGCTTCCATATAATAATACCATACAATGTGCCCCAGTATGTCTGCTCTGGGCTAATCATGTTTGTTTTTGCCGAAGTACTTGAAGGTAGATATTATTTAATTTTGTTTTGTTGTCTGAATAACAAATAATTTTCTGAGAAAGGAATGGTGCACAGAAGGGTGCAAACTTGGGAAAAAACCATGATGTTGGTATATCTGAAATGTTGCACTGTCATAGCCTTACCTGTGAATAAAACCTTGGGTTGCTAGAATTTCCAGGTTGAACTGAATTTCTTAGAACTAAAGATGAACAATTGTACACGCCGACCCTCCCATTTTTTCCAGTTTTAAACAAACAACTAATAGAATTCACAGGCGGCGTACTTTCCTCTTGTAAGAGCAACTATACGCATGTTTTTCACCCTTTTTTTTTTTTCCTTTTTCTAAGAAGGAAACGGTTTCTTCCTTTAATTGACACACTAGAGTAAAGCTGAGTTTCTTTACTGATCAGGGTTTTGTTGTTCAATTTTTCTTGCCGCCCACAGGTGTCAACTTGTCACTGCTTTCTCGGGTAATGTCATCTAGGCTGTCCCGTGGAACCTACAATGGAGGACTACTTTCAACAGAAGCTGGGACTATTGCTCGAGTGATTGCCGATGCCACAATTACACTGGCTGGGTACTTAGGTCAGAGTCTGCTTTTGAATATCACTCTACTTCCTTCACTACTCATATGCATCTCCTCTATTATTGCGACCTGCTTTACCTACAACTCTTTGTATTAATCGATTATTCCCTTCACAATTCCATCCTTGATTTTTTTTCCCTTTACAATTAATTTTTTTTTTATATTTTTTTCATAATAATGCTGTATGTGGTGAGAAACTTGGGCATTGATTATCCTCTATAATTGTATTTTAATAAAAGTTTGGTTCCCTTCTATTGAAGGCTCCAAATATATCTACAACGATATATTTTCTTTGCCAATAATCGAGTGATCTGTAAGTAAATTACTTGACTCTTATCTCTAATTATCTAGCAGTCTCAAATAGAAAAAAAAATGTTGCTTTTTCTTTTGGTTGAATAGCTTCAAAAGTTGGTACTCAAGAGGATATTACTTCAGACTTTCATCTTGTTAGGAAGAAAATTTACTTACCATCAAAATTTAATAATAATAATAATAATAAAAAGAGTCGATGGAACATTTTGGATTTATTCTGAAGAACTTGCTTATTTATATGAGTGAAGCTTTTAGTAAAAAATGTACCATCAATTCAATAGCAACAAAAAATAAAAAGGCCATTTAATTTAGTTTTTATCTCAAGAGGCTTTTAGTTTTTTTTATAAAAAAAAAAAAAGAAAAAAAAAAACCTTTCTTAACTATCAAAAGGAAAGCAAGTAATACAAGTAAAACCGTGTGTGACATTGATTTTTTTTTTTTTTTTTTTTTCAAGTAACCACTTTTCTTGGCCTAAAACCTCTGGATATTTGCAGCAATTAGCCATTAGGTGCATTGAACCGCACCCAACTGTCCAAATTCAACTTGAATGAGTATCCCAGGTTTCATTACCTAGCCTTCTCTAGCACGAGTTAACTTTGGCTGTCCAACAAATTTGGTTGCTCGATCGATCAGGTCGGGTCCTAGGAATCACATTTTGTGCATTTCTTGAACACTTCCTCTGCCTCATCAAGATATCGTTCAACTTGGTTTGGCTTGTGTGACCGATAAAAACAAGCAAGAATCTTTGTTCCCACAACCTATCTCCCCGTAGAGATTGTTGCCTGCCCTATAATATATTCCTTCTTTTATATATAAGAGGCAAGGCAAGGTTTGCCTTTTGTTGGTATAGATGAAAGTCCTGAGTTTGGGACAATGAATCTTGGGTGGTGGAGACTTTTTGGCGCTGCCTTTGCTGGATTTCTCTTCTTTCATGGCTTTTCTGCCTCTGAGAAAGGTACTGAAACCTTCATAATTCTTTTATGTTTCTTTTTTAACTATATTGCCAATATATATAGTACTCTTACCAGATAGAAGTACATATATATAAACATAATAATAACCAAATTACAAGAATTTGTCATTTTTTTATTAGGTTGTTTGAGTTCATGCAGTTAATCTGTGTTTATAGACACTGATAAAGAATAATTAAATATTATTTTTTTAAAAATACATTATTTTTACATACTTAAATAAAAACCATATATTAATCACAATTTTTTTTAAATATCATCTTAATCGATATTACTAAATATCGATTAACATTTCTCTTATTTTTTAAAATATTTATTTATTTTACAACATCATATACATAAGAGACATTTGTCGTAGGGTTGCATTATGAATTCCTTTCATTTATTGTTATTAAAAAATAAAATTTTTTATCAAATTAACGCCGTCCTAACGGTTGTTTTTTCTTAAGATTCATGTCTTTTTTCATATGAGATAATTGAAAACAACTTTAATTTTGAATAGATTTTTACTAACTTATATGTGAATTTGAAGTAATGTCTCTATTTTACTACTATATATACGGTCATTTTTCATGCACAACGTTAGTCCTGAAATATCAATGTCGCTATCCCAAAAGCTCCGAACTTCTCCTTCATGCACAATGCAACATCAGCTCCAACCTTATCATATTACGACTACATTATTGTCGGTGGTGGCACCGCCGGATGCCCATTAGCTGCTACATTATCTCAAAATGCCACCGTCTTGCTCCTTGAACGAGGTGGCTCCCCCTATGGTAACCCCATCATCACCAACATGGCCAACTTTGGTGCTGCCATCTCCGACCTTTCCCCATCGTCCCCTTCACAACGGTTCATCTCCGAAGATGGCGTAATAAATGCACGTCCTCTGGTTTTAGGGGGCGGAAGTTGTCTCAATGCAGGGTTTTACACACGCGCTGCCATTGAATATGTCAGGTACCAACCAAGCTGTACCTAGGGTTGGCATCGGGTCGGGTTCGGGGCGAGCAAAACCCGCCCCGAATCCGACCCTATCCGAAATTTTTTTTGATTTTTCATACTCGAATCCGACCCGACTCCGATATCACGTAAACCGTATCCGACCCGATCTGACCCGAAATTAATAAAATATTATTTTTTAAATATAAATATTTAAAAATATTATTATATAAATATATATAATAAAAAATTAAATAATTAAATTAAAAAATATATTTTTATATAATATCGGGTCGAATTTTAGGCAAACCCGACCCGACTGTGTTCCTTATTTACCCGACCCGACCCCGAAACCCGAATTTCAAAAAAAAACCGACCCCATGGGATCGGGTCGGGCCGGAACCCGTCGGGGACGGGTTAGCTCGCCATCCCTAGCTGTACCAAATGCTGAAATTTTGCCACATTATTATCGTTGACAATAGCTGAAGGTTTTTTTTTTTGGTTAATTATTAGACAAGCGGGTTGGGATGGAAGGTTAGTGAATGAATCATACCAGTGGGTGGAGAAATTAGTAGCATTTGAGCCACCATTGGGGCAATGGCAGTCTGCTGTAAGGGATGGTCTGATTGAGGCTGGGGTGGTGCCGTTCAATGGATTCACTTATGACCATATCTATGGGACCAAAGTTGGTGGAACAATATTTGATCAACAAGGGAATAGACACACAGCCGCAGATTTATTGGAGAATGCTAACCCCAGTGGGCTTACTGTCCTTTTGTATGCTTCTGTGCACAAAATCTTGTTTGCAATTAAAGGTACATCAAATAACAACTAGCTCAAATTCTACACTTTACCAGATAATAATTGATATGTGAAGAACAAGAACAAAGTTTTTATTCAATAACAGGGAAAAGAAGACCAAAGGCCCATGGAGTGATTTTCAGAGATACATCAGGGGCCAAGCACAGTGCATATCTCAATGACGGATCAAAAAACGAGATCATTGTGTCTGCCGGAGCACTGGGAAGCCCACAGCTGTTGATGCTGAGTGGAGTAGGGCCTGCAGTCCATCTAAAGGCCCACAACATTACGGTGGTGCTAGACCAACCCCTGGTTGGACAAGGAATGTCTGATAACCCCATGAACGCCGTTTTTGTCCCGTCTCCTCTTCCAGTTGAGGTTTCACTTATCCAAGTCGTTGGTATTACCCATTTTGGAAGCTACATTGAAGCCGCTAGTGGCGAAAACTTTGCTGGTGGTGGTGGTTCTTCGTCTCCAAGAGATTATGGGATGTTCTCACCTAAGGTATAACGTCTCCATTTAAGCCTTGCCTGGGCCTTCAAAGCCTAGAAGATTACCCTTATTTGGGCTTTCAACCCTACCCAATTAGCCCCAGGAGTAAATTTTTTTGTTTTCTATGCAGATTGGTCAGCTCTCCACGGTACCACCAAAGCAAAGGACCCCAGAAGCCATAGCCAAAGCTGTAGAATACATGAAAAATCTTGAGCAGGCAGCTTTTAGAGGTGGATTTATCCTGGAAAAAATTATGGGTCCAATTTCAATAGGCCATTTGGAGCTTCGAACCCGTAATCCAAACGATAATCCATCGGTTACCTTCAATTATTTCAAGGATCCTCGAGACCTGAAAAGATGTGTCCAAGGAATTCAAACCATAGAGAAAATTATTGAATCAAAGTCTTTCTCTAAATTCAGATATGACTATCTGTCTTGGCCAGTACTTCTCAATATGACAGCAAATGCCCCCTTAAATTTGTTGCCTAAACATTACAATCCGTCAATGCCACTGGAAGAGTTTTGCAAGGATACTGTCATGACTATATGGCACTATCATGGAGGCTGCCAAGTTGGTAAAGTTGTTGATCTTGACTATAAGGTTCTTGGTGTGGATGCTCTAAGGGTTATCGATGGATCCACGTTCAACTACTCGCCTGGGACTAATCCTCAGGCCACTGTCATGATGCTTGGAAGGTAATTAATCACTAGCTATTCAGTTTTGAATCCTCCTGGTATTTAGAAACGAGATGCTTCATTTCCGACTTTAAGGGGACAGTACTACTTGTTACATGGCAAGCCAAAATGATTAGTTATGGCGTGAATTATGTTGGTCGTTTAATTGATATTGTAATTTAATGTGATGCAGGTACATGGGTGTCAAGATATTGGGTGAGAGATTAGCCAATTAAGAATCCAAGTGATTGATGATGGTTTAATTTTCTTTCTTTTGTTGATAAAGAAATGATGTTCTTGACTAGTTCTAACTGTTTAAACCATTTGTCAATAGCTGCATTTATGAATGGTTGACATCGAGAAAATGTTATTTTTTTGTGCTGCAATTGTTTTACCTTATGTCATGATAATTTAGTTCTGTGATGGATAGCATGTCAAGATGAAGAAAAGCAGAACATATATGAAAAAACAAAATGCAATAAGAAATTTAACACTACTATAGCTTTATAGTTTCCAGAATAGAAAATTAAGCTCATGATCAAGAAAAATTCCCAGTCCAGACTCTACATTATATTCCTCTGTAACAGCTGCAGGAACTTTGCTTATCACATCTAATTCTCTGGTTTCACCTGCGATTTTAATGTCTTGGTATTCAAGAACACCCCTCACCCCTAAAAAAATAAATTAATAAATAGGAACATAAATATTATTCATCATGTCCCATATTGCAGAGAATATTTAGTCGGTACCAGCTGTTAGCCTGTTACAGATATAATCCTAGTAAAGAAACGATGATTTTGACTTGGGAACTGAGATATTGTAGAGAAATATGTTATATTATCTTTAACTTTGTAAAAATTGAGGGAGATAGAGAGATACAAGAAAACTGATCACAAAGTGGGAGTTGTTTCACCAAGAAAGTTACATGGTCACTGAAGGTTATGAATTTGGACTTGCAGATTCTCCAAAGCCAAAAGTTAATCTTAAAGAAAAATTAAACAGAAAAGAATATTACAAAGGATACACCTCTAGGCCCTCGTTTTGCTTCCACCTACTATAGGGAAAAGCAGGCATCTTGTATTGACTCCTTTTTCTCTTCCTCCCTTTTCCTTCCATACATTGATATGGACACAGCTGAAAGAAAGAAATATTGAAAACATTCATAAGTGTAAATCGTGCAAAGTATAGAATCTGTCAAACATCTGTAAGAGACTTTTTTCAGATAAAAGGAGCGGCCTTTCATTAAATGCGTAGAAAGCACGCACCAAAGGTATCCTCGTCATATGCTATGTCTCAAACAACTTATACCATTGTCCATTGGTGGAGCTCTTAAGAAAGAGCCTATAAATATCTTGCTGTACCCCTCAGTTAAAACCAGAACTAGCTAGGCATGCAGTTCAACTTTTTTTGTGCCATAAGACCATGAAAATATTGATCCCTAGGTGAACTAGTTGTGGGGCTCCTCTCCCTTGGCAGTTTATTCTCATAGATGATGAAAGATGATGATAGATGATGAATCAACATCTAATTCTTGTATTCAACAATAACCCGCAAAAGGAGAGTTACCCTTTAACCGATTCGACTTAATAAATCTGCCAAAGCCCCTTATGTTTATAGCTCATTCAAAAGGTATGATTTTTGCATGTTTAATGTGGTTTTCTTCTGAGTAGCTAGGATCCATATTGTCTGTAGGAGTGTAAATTTGCATGACGTTCTTCTGCATGATACATTATAATCTTCTTTATCGGTTCAATTAATCTTCAAGAAAGAGCTCATTTGTCATGCTTTGACAACTTTATTGAGGATGTTATCACTATTTTTTGAGTGATTTTTAGCTTGTGCTTCAAAGGAGTACTAAATACTTTAGGGGGGGCTAGGAATATAATTATTTTCATATATATGACAAAATTCGGAATAATAATGGATCCTACAATTGTCTTTACATTTTGAACATCAACTAATTTTTTCTGGTAAGAATTGTCAACTAAACTGACCCAATTGGGATAGCTTCGTTGGGAAAGTCTTGGGAAAAATCTTTTGTATAATATATTATGAAAGAATCCTCTTGAACATCGAAATGTATATAATACCAAAGCCCAAGTAACTATAACCTGATCAGTGACCCAGTCTACGAGTATCATTGATTAAAAAATAAAGACTAAAGGAGAAGAAAATAAAAAAAAAAAAACGTATTCACAGTTTTTGTCGATAGTTTTTTCTGACAAAAAATAATAATAAAAGGAAAACTTGAAGAAAACCTCGAGAAGAAGAAGAGAGGAAAAGGAAGGGTAAATCAATTCTAAAAAAAACTTTTATTAAAGCAAGATTTTCTTAAAACTCTTGAAATTTTCATGTTTTGTGTGATTTTCTACAACCCCCAACTTACATTTTTGCATCTTTTTATCTTTAGAAATATTTCAATGAGTTTTCGGTAATAATTTGCTGAAATTATGAGTATCAATGGAAAAGTCTCTTCAAGATCTTTCTAATAGTATGTGTGGCACTTTATTTAATTGAATAATTTAAAAGAATTTAATATTTAAAGTTTTTAATTTTTGGGTCTCTGATAGTTACTAACACTCAAATTTGAGCCATTGAAACTCTCTAATCTGGTGGTTGATTTGGTCAAAATTTAGATGCTTTTGATAGTATGAAATGTGAATTTTTTAGTAGTATAATTGATTTGTTCATATGATTTATAGATTAAGATAATCAAAATCTCAAAATAAGCTTCATCAATCTAAAACCCAAAAAATTTGGGCTATTTGTAATAATTTATAAAGTTTTGGCCTTTGAAACTTAAGGTTCTTAAAATCATTTTTGGTGAAATAAAATTCTAAGTTGTAATGTTATATTCCTACTTTAAATTACTATTTTCCTTTTTCACTAAAAACTATAGGATATTAGAGATTTTGTAACTCAAATTAAGCCAAATGATTACGAAACACAAAAATTTTAGAATATAAAAAATTATTTTTAATTATTTTAAAAATTATTTCGAATCAATATTTGATATATTTAGTTATAAATTACTTGAATTTCAATTATATTATTTTAATGAAATTTTATTTATTTTAGTATATTTTTATTGTGTTAAATTCTATATTATTAGTATTGTTAAATGACTATTAAATTATATTTAGATTTACTTAAAAATAATTACTATTAAATATTAAAAATTAAACATTTGTAAAAATTTATATTGCTATTGATTTTTATGTTTTAATCATTAATTTTATATTTATACTCAATTTTAGACATTTCATTATATTAAAAGAAAATTTTTTATATGCTAAAAAAATACTTTAAATAGTTTCGAATTATCAAAAAAAGTTGTCACACAACCCAATTTGCTTAGGATAACCAGTGGAAGGTTGGCCTTGTTAAGTTTATGCTTTTGGGTTAAGTTTTGATTTTCTTGAATTATTAGGATACTAATAGAATTAAGTAATTTGCTGATTAAATTTTAGTTTAGCTCATCAAATAAGTGATTTGATATCCCTTCGATTTTTATGTTGCTAAAAATCAGCTTCAACATGTTTAGAGTTTAAATATATAATATATATTATTTTGTCCATTTGTTTTGTAAATCGAGTTAAGCATACAAAATATATATATGATTTTTTTGTTATAAGCTTAAAATATGGTTTGATATGGTTTTGATTTTTGAATATGATTTCGTAATAATATATTTATATATCCATTGTTTGTTAGAATATGAAATTTTGCTTTTGAATATTATGGAATTTGTTTTCTATGGAATTTTTTTTTTTAGAAAGTTATAAATATGAATTTGTATATGTTGAGTAATCTGAAAATATATTTTGATTTTTGTCTTCTAGTATGACTATATTCTAACCTTGCCAATGGAGATTAATTGTTGGCCATGTTGACATGTATTTTGTGATATCGATATCGATTTTGAACCGTACCATCAATTAAAAATAGTAATTTTTGTTCACTATAATATCGATGATATACTTCTGTCCCATTGCACTAAAAAGTTTACTGTGATATTTGTTTTGTCCCATTGCACTAACGAATTAATTATGATTGTTAATGTAACGATCTAGTTGCTTCTTATATATTTTTGTCCTATTGCACTAGAGAAAAATTTTTTATTTTGACCTATGCTACAATGGCTAAGTGTGGTTGTAGTATGTTACAGGAGACTAATAAAATTTATAAGTTTGTGATATTTGATTCTTTTTTGTGATACGAGAATCGGTTTTAAGATATGTTTGTGAATATAAGATTATCCAAAATATTTTTAATTCATTTGGTTAATGTTTTGTCCTAAATGTTTGTGGCATGCCTAATCCAACTGAGAGGATATTGATTACTTGCTGAGTCACCGTACTCATTCCTTTTATTTTCTTTAGTTTTTTTAAATTTTGATGTTGGTATTTTGAAAGGTTTAATCTTGACAACTATTTAGATTAGCAAGATTAGCATTTGTTTTTAGCTTGGTATAGCATTCGAGTGAATATTTTATTATTGATTCTAAAGGATTTATGGGTAAGAATTTTAGTATATTCGACTAACTTGTAAACGATATAATTTTATAAACTTAAGATTTTGTAAAGTATTATTTTAAAGATTATTGGAGATTTCGATTTAGTTTGATATATGTTGCCTTGCATGCTTGTAAGATTCATTTCATTAGTATGTGACGTTGTTATGTCTTAAATTTTTTAGCTTAGGGCATGACAATGTAAAACCACCAACACACAAAAACCTAATTACATGCATTGACTAGATGATTGATATTGCCTGGTTTTAAGTGGTAAGAAAAACTCATGTATCATAACTAATGTCAATCAGTTTCTCTTACCACTCAAAAACAGGCAATATCAATTTCATTTACCACCCAAAAATAGTTCTCAAGTAATGGTCTCTCCCAAGTTCCATCACCTAAGAATAGCTAGGTTAAATTTTAATATATATATATATATATATGTTTGGTAACTTGGCCCATGAGAGCTAGCGAGCAACGCCCACTTGGGGCCTGAAATCTTGTTAAAAGAAACTTCAGGCAATCAATATAGTATTAGCTTTTTTACATTTATTAAATTGGGGCCTAAACTAATGACACTGCTGAGCTTGAATCTAAGCAAATTATTATTGGTTACTAAAAGAATTAAGTAATTTACAGATTAAATTTTGGTTTAACGCATTAGGTAAGTAACTTGATATCCATTCGGTTTTTATGCCCCTAAAAATCAACCTCAACATGTTTAGAGTTTAAATATATAATATGTATGGTGTTGTCCATTTATTTTGTAAATCGGGTTAAGTATACAAAATATATATTTGATTTCTTTATTATGAGTTTGGAATATGATTATTTTTTAATATGATTTCGTAATAATATATTTATACATCCATCGTCTGTCGAAATATGAAATTTTCCTTTGGAATGACTATGGATTTTGTTTTCTATGGATTTTGTTTTGAGAAAGTTATAAACATTGAATTTGTATATGTTGGATAATCTAAAAATATATTTTGAATTTTGTCTCCTAATATGACTATGTTCTGACTCTATCAATGAGGGTTAATTGTTGGCAATGTCGACATGTACTTTGTGATATCAATATTGGTTTTGAATTATGCAACCGGTTAAGAATAGTGGTTTTTGTTTACCGTATCATCAGTGATATACTTTTGTCCCATTGCACTAAATGGGTTAATGTGATCTTTGTTTTGTCCCATTGCGTTAATTGATTAATTATGATTGTCAATGCAACGATCTAATTGCTTCTATTATACTTCCGTCTCATTTCACTAAAGAAAATTTTTTGATTTTGACTTATGCCACTTGGATTAAGTGTGGTCGTAATATATTACCAGAGACTAATAAAATTTATAATTTTATGATATGAGAATCGATTTTGAGATATGTTTGTGTGGATACTCACACCTAATCTGTGAGGTATTGTTCGCTTTGACCTGAAGATCTTATGGTTTTATCCCACAAAAAGTGTCACAAATTTTGGGTTTAGATATATATATATATATATATATATATCACACCATATCTACATATTCTTCTAATGTGAGATTGAGGGCATTACAATCTCTCCACCTTTAAAGCTTAACATCCATGTCAAGTCAAGTCTAACCAAAAAACTAAGATCACACCAGACGTTGAGATTCTAGAGGTGGCTCTCCACCATATAACACTTAGTGACTCTCATGATGTAACATTTAGTTCCCATCGATTAGTGACCGCTCTGATATCATTTGTGGAGATGCACATCCATAGTTTAACCATAAGACTAAGATCACAATAGACGTTGAGATTCTAAAGGTGGCTCTCTACTATGTAACACTTAGTGACTCTCATGATACAGCACTTAGTTCCCATCGACTAGTGACCTCTTCGATACTACTTGTGGAGATACGCATCCAACCTGCGAGGCATTATCCACTTTGATCAAAAGCGTATCACAAGTTTTGTGTTTAAATCTCTACATATATATTATATCATATCCGCACATTTTTTCAATATGAGAATAAAGGCATTGCAGTTTGTAAATATAAGATTACCCAAAATATTTTTTATTCATTTAATTAATGTTTTGATAAATGTTTATGACATGCTTAATCCAACTAAGAGGATATCGGTTACTTGTTCAGTCGTCGTATTTATTTTTTTAATTTTATTTTTACTTTTTTCATATTTCGATATTGATATCTTGGAAGGTTTAATCTTGACAACTACTTGAATTAACAAAATTAACATTTGTTTTTAGCTTGGTATAGCTTTAGAGTGAGTATTTTATTACTCATTCTAAAGAATTTATTGGTAGAAATTTTAGTATATTCTATTAACTTATAAATAATATAATTTTATAAATATGAGATTTTGTAAAATATTACTTTAAAAATTATTGAAGATTTTGATTTAGTTCAATATCTATTATCTTGCATGCTTGTAAGATTGTCTTATGAATATACAATATAGTTACGTCTTAAATTTTTTAGTTTGAGAATAGACAATGTAAAATCACCAACACACATGAACCTAATTATATGCATTGACTCGATGATTGATATCGCCTGGTTTTGGGAGGTAAGAAAAACTCATGTATCATAACTAATATCAACCAGTTTCTCTTACCACCCAAAAACTGGCAATATCAGTTTCTCTTGCCACTCAAAAACAGTTATCAGGTGATGGTCTCTCCCAAGTTCCATCACCTGAGTACAGCTGGGTTAAATTTTAATATATATGGTTGGCAACTTGGGCCCACGAGATCTAGCGGGCAAGGGCCGCCTGGGGCCTGGGATCTTGATAGAAGACACTTCAGGCAATCAATATAGTATTAGCTGGCTTCACATTTATTATGTTGGGGCCTGAGCTGAGTTTGAATGTAAGCAAATTATTTGAATCTGACTCCGAAGCTTTCCCTAAGAATGGTGGAACTTAATGGGATGTCCAAAGGCTCGTCAATCCCATTGCTTTCCCCCTCACCAAAAAAAAAAAGGGTTGATTAATACAGTAGCAGTTATTATTACAGTGTTGACTTTTCCAGCTTCAATTTACCAAATGGATTTAAAATCTCAATTTCATGAATGACAAATTATAAAAAAAAGAAAAGCACTTTTCTAACAGATGGAGATGGCCGAGTTGGTCTAAGGTGTCAGGTTAAGGTTCTGGTATGAACAGGCATGGGTTTGAAACCCATTCTCAAAAGACTTTTACAATTCTCTACCCTTGGTGTACATATTTTAAATGCTTTTTACTTATAAAAGCTAGGACTCAGTCCCACGGCATTTCTCTGGCAAACCGTAGTTTTGACACATTGTGAGGGATATGAACAAGTCTTCATTGTTCTAATTGTCAAAGGGGAAGTGATTCTAGAAACTCATCAGCTAGAAGTCCGTCCCGGCCACACTCTTTTCCGTGGCCAGTCGGAGACATTAATTATGCAATCCCCCTTACCAATACGCAACGGAAGCAGGTATCATATAATTTCATTACCATTTTTGGTCACTTGAATCTTTATTAAGTTGTTCTACTTTTCAAACCTTCAAGAACAAGGAGATTACGAAGAAGATTACGAAATTTTCTATGGATAAAACTCTAAACCGTTCGTCTCTAATTCAAAACGCGTAACAAGTGATGAATTTGAAAATACAGTATTCAAATCGTAATGAATGTTCTAAAAGTATACGCACATGCTAATGTAGTTGATCTTCCAGCCTGTGGGGCAGATGAGATCGTCATCAGTAGCTTTTTGTCATAACATATCTTGGTATAATCATGACATAGTTATAAATTTGTGCTTTAAGCTAAGTCGTCTTTGCATGGCCTAACTTTGTGTAATATATACCCATAAATTCTGTTATTTTAATAGCTATACTAGTAAATTTTTTAATTAGTATTGTATTTTGTTAATTATTGGATAATATTAGAAGAGGGATTAAAATGCACAAGTTCAACTTTTGGATGATTTGCAGGAGGGCCTGAATTGCATGATTTGTATTTTAGAAAGGTCAAATATTAAGAAGTTACCCCTAAAATAAATATTAAATTTCATTTATTCTCTAACCCTAAATTAAAATTAAAAAAAAAATAAATGTTTGATTTCGAACCAAACCTCCATAGGGCTTTGCCCTCCCTTAAAACCAAAAATAAAAATAAAAATAAAATAATAACAACAAGGGAGGCTGCAAATTTGGGATTTAAGATTGCATGTCAAGATTTAAACCAAACTCTTCAAACCTTTACATTTTTAAATAATTTCTATAAAAACTTCATATTAGTTTCAAACTTTAAAATTTTTTGTGTCATTCCAACTACTTTCAGGTGACATTGGGCACCAATAGAAAGCTTTGTTTAAGATCTTTTCAATGAATTTTTGGCACATCATTTAATTAAATATTAAAGAAAATTAATTTTTGAATATTATTAAAAATGAGTTTTTAACAGTTTTAGTGACTCAACTTTAAATTGTCATATATAAATTTATTTTTCGAAAATTATTTTGATAAATTCTTTAAGGATTTTTACAATATGAAATGTTAGTTTTATTTTATATAACTTTTTATTCAATACAATATCTCTTACTTATATGCTTATGTAATTCGTTTTATGAGTGCATGATGCTCTTCTGCTCTAAACCCCTTTGAATTTGGAATGTGATACTTTGCAATTCCGCTAAGCTTTTCTTTTTTTTTTTTTTTTTTACTATGTTTTGAAAAGACCAATCCAAAATCGTCCAAAATTGCTAGAGTTTGGAAGCAGAATATGCGTAGAAGCTGGTAATGCCGACACCATAATTTTTCCACGTTCCTGGAATCTTTAAAAATGAAATCATCTAATTCTTTTGGAAACCTCAGGGACGTTTCGCGCGTACCTTCCAAAATTGAAGTACAAAAACAAAAAGACGACTTTCGCGAAGAGTCTTTCTTAATACAAAAGATTGAAAATTGCCTATGATCCGATGATGGGGGCAAAGGGCTGCAGTTGAACTTGACTTGTCCAACATGCCTTAGGTGACACTGTGGAAAATTTTATCTTACAAGGAAGGGTGTGATCAATAATGTATAGAGAAAGGCAGGTTATAGAAATAATTTAAACGAAGCTTCTGGCCTGCATGAAAAAGCCGGCAACTTCCAAACTTTCTCCTGCCCGTTTCTGCTTTTTGGCTTCTTCCTCGCATCAGCATGACTAAACTTTTCTAGTGCCATTAACCTTTATGGGTCGACAAAGGGGCATATTGCATTATGATTTTGGAAAAGTGTGATGGAGAAATATGGTTTTGTATATAACACTTTACAGTTTTGTGGTCTTCAATCAACCATTTTATGGATGATATGACTTTTTGGGTTTCGTTTTTTTCACTTTTCTTGACTTGTTTGAATCATTTCATTTGTTTGTAAAATGAAATTTCCAGGAAAAGGAATCATTCAGTAAGTTTTACAATTCATCAATAAAATATAAGGATGACGCTTAATCAATTCCTTAGACCGAACATATTTTGTCGGTTTAGTCTTACAATTCACTTCTCTTCTTCAGTTGTCTTGATTTTTATTCATCTTTAGTTCTTTGCTACGTATAAAAAACACTTCATACTTGACTTTGCAGTTAAAAATGGCTTTAATCAAAGACAATGGTGGATGCCTTTTGCAAATGGCTTGCATATTTTTGGTCAGCACAAAGTGAAGAACATGAAGTAGCAACAGGACAAGGTCAAATAGAGTATGCTGATGGGATTCCCATTGGACAAACTTGTTCAACGCTCAAAGTGGAAGACTTTTTGCATTTACGGTCTATGAAATAACAGGAGCAAAAAAGAAGGAAAAATATTAACATATAGAAAGAATGCAATCAACTTGGATTAGCGAGGCCTCAAAAGCCTGCTGTTCTGGTTGTTGTCCAAATCCTTTTCCTGGTCTTCCTGAGTTTCATGCTGCAACTTCACCGATTCCAAGCAGTGCTGCAGCATCACGGTATGAGTTTGAGGTTAGCACAGCTTCTTCTCTTTACCCAAATTTCCAATTTACCAATCATGAGTCTCTTCCTTCTTTTGAGGAAACGTTTTCTGGTTTCAACAAAGTGTACCCTCAATATTCCCAAACGTATCAGGCTGACAAAATCCGATCTCAAGAATACTATCATCTTTCCCTCTCTAAGCATGTCTGTCTTGACTACATTGGCCATGGCCTTTTCTCTTACTCTCAGCTTGAAAGTCTATATCCAGGATCTCCAGTTGCGTCTCCTTCATCTTCTCCTCCACCGCCTGTACATTCACTTACTTTAGAACCTCCATTTTTTGATATTTCCTGCAAGCCAATAAACCTGAATTCTCAGCTATTATATGGTGGTGAAGAGTCAGAATTTCAGTCCGATATTAGGAAAAGGATCATGGCTTTCATTAATATCTCAGAAGCTGAATACACCATGGTTCTAACTGCCAATCAATCCTCTGCTTTCAAGCTTATGGCAGAGGTTTATCCATTTCAGTCTAGTCCAAATCTTCTCGCGGTTTATGACTATCAAAGTGAGGCTGTGGAAGTGATGGTTGAAAGCTCCAAGAAGCGAGGAGCAAATGTCCAGTCGGCTAATTTCTCATGGCCTAATCTACGAATTCAATCAGAAAAATTGAGAAAGAAGATAGTGAATAAAAGCAAGCACAAGAAAAAAGGACTTTTTGTTTTCCCACTTCAATCACGGGTTACAGGATCGAGGTATTCATATCAGTGGATGAGCCTGGCTCAGGAGAATGGGTGGCATGTGTTGCTTGATGCATCTGCTTTGGGAGCTAAGGACATGGAGACCTTGGGGCTTTCTCTCTTTAATCCTGACTTCCTAATTTGCTCATTTTTCAAGGTTTTTGGAGAAAATCCAGTAGGATTCTGTTGCTTGTTCATCAGAAAATCTAGTGCTTCGGTTTTGAAGGATTCAGCAACTGCAACAAGTGTGGGAATAGTGAATCTTTTCCCAGCGTCAAGGCCAACTCCAATCCCTGAAAAACCAGCTATTTCTTGCATTGAAACCAAACAGAAGTTGGATGAATTTCCTGTTCGAGGCTCATTCTCAGGCCCGATATCTATCCAACAGAGGAATGATGAAAGCACTTGTGAACTGAAGAAAATTGAAGGAACCAAAGCAAAGAAAAAGACTGTATCATTTTCTGAAATTGAAGAAGTGATAGATACAACCTTTGAATCTGCTAGCCCAACAATCACCAACACCCCCCAGATTAAAACCCCGCAAATTGAATGTAGAAGCTTGGATCATGCAGATTCGTTAGGCCAGATACTAATCAGCAGCAGGACAAGGAACCTGATCAACTGGTTGGTGAATGCATTGATGAGCCTTGAACATCCACATTCAGAAAAAGGAATTCCTGCGGTCAGAATCTATGGACCCAAAATAACGTTTGACCGAGGACCTGCCGTGGCATTTAATGTATTCGATTGGAAAGGAGAGAAGATTGATCCTGCATTAGTACAAAAGCTGGCTGATAGAAACAAAATTTCTTTAAGCATTGGATTTTTGCAACACATTTGGTTCTCAGATAAGCATGAAGAAGAGAAGGAAAGGGTATTACAGACAAGAACAAGTGAAGCTGAAGGAACAATCTCAAGCAAGAAGAGAGATAAATTTCATTCTGGAATATCTGTTTTGACGGCTGCACTTGGATTCCTGACAAACTTTGAAGATATATATAGGCTTTGGGCATTTGTTTCCAGGTTCCTGGATGCTGATTTCTTGGAGAAAGAGAAATGGAGATACAAAGCTCTTAATCAACAAACAATTCAAATTTAAGCCAAAACTATTCTTTCATTCTTTCAGAACAGAAGATCACTTATTATCTACTGTAACTAGAGAATGCTGTGCTCCCATAACTCTCCCATTTTTTTCCTCTCTTCTGCAGACTTCTGCAGTTCAACAACTACAGTGCAGCATCTGTAAATTTGTGCAGTTGCCCACCACAAAAAGGAAAAAAAATGGAGATAGCAAGGAATATAACTTTGTCTCAATCAGTTAATGAAATCATATTGAACAAAAAAAAAAAATCAGTTAATGAATCTGACAAAATTGACATAAACAATACAATCCGTCTATGCAGTTGACTCAGATATCAGGATAGGAATCGTCTGTTAATTTTCTTATTTTAATATAAATTGTTATAGATTGTAGATATAGAACAAGTTTTAAGTTGCAACATCTAAGGAAAAAAATGGGGAGATTTACCTCGACTTGAATAAGTTTGAGACAGTCATGAAGAGAACAGAAACGGGAGTCCAGGACCAAGTGAGTTTGAGACAGATTTCAATTTGGGAACGCAGAGGCCCAACAACGGGTTAAGAATTTGAAGGCCTATCCTAATGGTTAAGCTTTCTCAAGTGGGCTTGGGTCTTAGGAACATTTGAATTTGATCGCTTTAAAGCCCAGTACCAATTGAATTTAAGTCTTCGTGTAACTTTGACAAACGATTTTTTTTTAATATACACTAATACTTAATTTTTAAAAAAATAATGATATTCCTAAGAAATATATTGTAAAAGAAATTTAAAATTTAATTCAATTGATTCATTTGATTATTTTTAAAAGATAACATTTAATAAATTTAAAATTCAAATTTTAATACTTACAATTTTTTTTTATTCTTCCACTATTTTTATTTAAAAAATATATATTATAAATTACTATTAAGTAATTAATTTATGCCCTATATATAGTTTTTTGTTGCCTATTTTGCCTATATATGATTACTATTGATTTATTTGGATTGTTTAATGTCATTATGTGATTCAAAATTAGAGGTACAGACAACAAGCCTAGACGAAAAAAAATGTGAAAATAATGTCATCAGCAACATTTATGAATGTATGTTGGATTGCCAAATTAATAAAGTTAGTTGTCCAGTAATGGGTAAACTTTGTATCACTAGCTGCTGTTTTCTTCACTTATTATTATTTGTTGACATTTAATGAGAAGCCAGTTATTTCATGCTCCCCTTACTATCTCTTATTTGCAAGTTTCATCTGCACAAAGCAATTGTCCCTTCATAGTAATTAGAAGTTAGCAAAATTTAGTGTAGCTGAATTTGGCATTAATCTAACAAATAAATGAAACAAAACAAATCAAAAGTAAAATCTTGAATAAATAAATTTTAAAAACTGTAATTTCCAATTAAGTGAGAAAAAAAACCTATATTAATTCTGAGCCACGAAAAATAAATTTTAAAAAACACAAGAATTTATAATGATTGAAAATATGGTTATTTTTGCAACAACTTTTAAATTTTGTCGCTTAATTAATTTTTTTAATGTTTTATACAATAATAATTTTTATCTTTGTAAATCCATATCATGTTCTTGAGGACAAAAAAATTTGTTCCTAAATCTTGTTATATTTAGAATAATTTTTTAATATAATTGTTTAATTAAAATTTTTTATATTTTATAAAATAACAATAATTTTATTTAAAATTTTGCAGTGGTGTCTGAGGTATCCATCTTTTACCTTTGAAGCATTAATTATTTATATATATATATATATGACAAATTCACATTAATCTCTAGTCAAAGTCACCTACATTTCCATCATTAAAAATATTGCTTTCGTAGGAGTTCATACCCGTTGGGATAATCCCATTCAAAAATCAAATTACATAGAATTAATAAAAATATGTGCTACTGCTATTCTACCTAAAATTAGGCTCACTACCTTTAGTAAATAACAAAATGACTCGGCCGGTCAAGAAATCAAGATTAAGTACTACTAGCTATTAATATTTCAACAAAGAATAAAAAATTTTCAAGAGGACAGTAACAAAAACGAGAATAATTAACCCTTAAATCTCAATATAAAATTTATATTTAATGCATTATTAATGTATAAATTTTATTTATTATTAATGAATCAAATGATATTATATCATTAATGAATGAATATTAATTTTTAAAATAAATATATAAAATTTTAAAATTTAAATTTTTTCATTAATAAAATTTTATCATCTAATTTATTTCATTAATAAAATAATATCATCTAATTTATAGACATTATATATTAATAATACATTAAATATAAATTTATAATATATATATATATATTTGTCAAACACAACTTAAGATATTCATGCTTTGAGAGTTGAGATTTTATATGCCTATTTTACCAACCAAGTCAGCCGCCTTGGTTTCGTCAAAACTCAAAGTCATCACATCTTTAAAATTGATTCCCATTTGAAGAAAATCTTTCTGTGAATCGGTCGGGTTGGATCAAATCAAATCAATTTTAATTAATTTTTGAAAACTCTCGTTCATCAATTCGAGAGACTCAATTATTAAAAAATACATATTAATATATTAAAATATTATTAATATTTTAATATTTTAATTTAAATATAAATTTAAAAATTTTATTCAAAGCTCAACCCAAATTGAAAGAATAATTTGACCCATGAATAAATTTAATTTAAAGTTACGGGCTTGAAAGTAATTAAAATTATAAAGTTTTAGTTTCTCCTGCCAAGTTCGACAAATAAATATTGCTTCAATGGAAGTCAATTTTATATATCCCATTATCAACGTTGGTTTGCTGATATAGCCGGAAAAATTATGGTGTTGTGGAATCTAAGGTTTCCCATTTACCTGCACATGTTTGCAAAAGGGTATCAATAGCATAAGAAATCAAGCTCCCAATGTCCAAAACAACTAGCAATTAATTTAGACGCTGGTGGTTTCGATTTAGCCCCAAATTTTCAGTAATTTAAGTTTGAGCGAGCTTAATTAAATTAGGGTGGCACAATAAAAAATGTTTTATGAACGAAAATGTTATCTATTTATTTATTTATTTTTACATATAAAAACACATTAAAATTTGAAACTACTAAAAATAAAATAATGACTCTAGGTTTAATTTATACTGGTTTGAATTACTTCTTCCGCCCCCCTAGGTAATTAAACAATTTATTTAAGTCTTAATAATTAGGGGTTGGCAGTTGGTCATCCTTTTCGAGCTAGGTAATAAGTTTTATATTCCTGTTTTTGCCAAAATCATGAAAGTTTTCGTACAGAGTGGTGCGTTGACAAAACATGCTTCTCCTGGTTAATATTGTGAGGTGACATTGATGTAGTGATTAAAAAAAAAAAAAGGTATGGATTTTGCTTCCTGAGTATTATAAAACATTTTTTTAAGTTAATTAAAATATTTTTTATGATATTTTTTATTAAATGCGATAGTCACGCTATTAATGTTATGAATTTTAAAACATTAAAAATGAATTCTTTAATATAATAATTTTAAAAATATATTATTAAAGATTTTTTTATTCCTTAAAAAAATAAGATTTTTATCATCATAAAAACTTCATTTTCATCTAAAATTTTGAAAAAACTAAAACTATTGGATCAGAATCGTCGAAGTCAACGAAAACTTGATTTAGTGGTAAATATAAGATTTGGGATTTTAAGATTTAAGATTTAAATTTTATAACGTGTAAGTTTGATTTAATTTTATATTAAATTTATTTAACTGTTTGTTTATTTGATTATTAATTAATTTTTTATATATGTATATAATATTTGATTATTACAATAATTTATAATTTTATAAAAAAAATAAAATAACTTATACTATAAAATATTCGGTAAAAATTTAAATTTTTAAGAAACTTTGTCTGGAAAGTTGCACAATTTTATAGGCTTAGGCCAGTCCATGTTGAACATTGGCTAGTAGGATACTTGTTCCACTTTCTTGTACGAAGATAATGGCTTTATTAATGCTAAATGAATAAAAATTTATTGCTTGAGAACTTCGCATTAATAAAACAGATAAAAATGCTGACTTTTTATTTATTGTGTAAATATTGAGAAATTGGTGAAAATTTTAACACCCTCACAAATGTGAGAGAAATGAGTATTTGGTTGTTGGCTTATATAACTCTACATTATGGTTATTTAAAAAAGTATAAAATGTGATTTTTATTAGTAAATTGACTAACATTATTAAATTTAATTTATACAAAGATAAAATCTTTATTAAATTATATTAAAGGAATTAAATTTTAAATTTTATGTAAATATAAAAATTATTTACATATTTTAATAATTAATTTTATTTATTTAAATTATCACGTCAATAAAATTAATATTAAATTAAAATAATATAAAAATTAAATTTATAGAAATTATAATAAAAAAATAAAATTTTAATTTTGACTAAATACAAAGATGTCTGCACTATTTGACCAAAACTGAAACACAGGCCTAAACAAACAGTCAACGTGCAGTGTTAAGCACGGTCACATGCTGACATTCTTGACCCAAACTCCCACCAACCGCGACTTGTTCCCACTTTATTTCAACCCAAAAAAATCCGAACACCTACAACGACACACACAGCGGACAACTTCCTTGGCAGCTCCAACGTGACAACCGGTAACTGTCCACACTCAACAACTCAGTCTGGATTTCGTGCACTTTCTTAGTTTTTACCGATTTATATCTTTATTTTGTTGCTTTTGTTTATTTATTTATTAGTAATGAAGTCAATTTTGGATGCTCGCAAAAATTCAAACGATTTGGGTTTTTTTTTTTTTTAATTTTAAAAATTCAGATGAGTTAAAAATATAAAATCTGAATTATTCAAATACATCAACTCTCCCTTTTAAAATTACTTAAAATTGTCTATTAAATTATAAACTCCGCAAAATAACATATGATATTTTCATAAGTTATTATTATTTTTAATATTTGAAATTATTAAAAATTAAAAATTTAATATTTTATTAACAGGTTAAATGATTGTTAACAATTATTATTTTTATTAATATAATCTAAATAATTGTAATTCTATATTTAAATTTTGAAAGTTTCAAATTAAAACCCTACAAAAAATTTAGTATAAGATGAGAATAAATGAATTTTTACACGTTTAAAAAATATTTATAAAAAATAAAAAATGTCTATTTACGTAATGAATAGCAATTTGTTAATCATATATATGTTTATTTTAAATATTCATTTTGAATTCTTTGATGCGGTATCCATCGATTTACGCTTTAATGACAGCATTTATAACTTCAAATTTAACAATTTATGCAAATGTTGCTGTCTTGTAGACTTTTTCCAGTGCTACACGTCCACATTATTTAAGCAAAGATGGCTCCTTATATTCCTAAAATAACATTTTTGTAGCATATCAAATTTGAAAAAACCAAATTAAATTTGTACATGAGCCGGGTCCAAACTCGGTCCGACAAGTTTAAGAAATTTAAATTTTTTATAAAATTTTTAAATATTAAAAAATTTAAAAAATTAATTTCTAAAATATAATTAAAAATAGTTTTATTAATAATTTAATATCCTGAATTAATTAAATCGAGAATGAACTCCAAAATCCTTATGTAAAATATAATCGGTGGACAAATTTAGATCAAACCCCATCATATGATTATTCATTTAAAAAAATA